GATGGACGCTGATGTCGTAGAAGTTCTTCACAAAATTGAGACACAATTTGAGCATAATCTCCTCCAACCACAAAGATAAAAGGAAACAATATTAATAATCAGTGATGATGCATCAAATGTAAACTTCATCATATAAAATAGCATCTTCTTGGACTGTTGTATTAGGGTCATATATCTTATGTGACATGTATAGTGTCTCCAAATCAACCCACTCAAATCGTCTGCTTTCTCATGGCCACTTCAATAGAAGCACTTCCAAAGGAAAATGGCCCAATTAGATTTAAAAATTAATTATAAACCTTAACTACCACTTACTTACACCGAAGGCACAAATCCTATGAAATAGGGCAAACCCAAAATGAAAGAAGAATATGAAGATGCTTGATGAAGGTTAACCTAAATTTCGGCACGGCGTACAAGCCAGCAGCCGGTACGCTCAACGTCCCTAGAGGTACGCCCCGCATACACTGCCAGATTGGGCTTTGAACAATTGGGCCTCGGTGTGGACCGTGCTTTGGACTTAGAGTCTTTGGGCCTTAGGGGACATTAGGAGTCCGTGAATATGGGCCAAGTATAGGTGTTGGGCCTAGGGTAAGGCCTAATAAAGGGATTTGGGCCCAATATAGAAAATTGGGTCATTAGTGGGCCTCTAGGGGGTCGTTGATGGAAATAGAAGAAAATAAGGGTTTAGGGCCATGTTTGTAACCCACACCATAGCAGGGGTAAAATGGTCATTTTACCCCTGAGATTAGTTATCAGTATTTGATTTAGTGTTTATGGAATTTGTAGTCGGGGAGTTCCGGAGCAGCAGTCAGACAGTTTCAGATTTAGCTTCTCAGCAGCTAGCGTTATGAGGTGAGTCTTCCTTCCAGTAGGAGCGGGTCTACGACCACAATGCCGGCCCGTTTAGTCAGCTGTAGTTCCGGACTTTGGTCTGATGCAGTAGTTCACTGTGCTTGATGTCTTTGTGATTCAAGCATGTCTTTGTGTTATGTGTTCCGGACTTCGGTCCGATGCAATATGCAGTATATGTGTTTATGTTTGTAGTTATGATTATGCTATACTATGTTCAGTCAGTTTCTGGACTTCGGTCCGATGCAGAGGGAAAGGCCCTAGTTAGTTTCTAGACTTCGGTCCGATGGAGTTTCCGGAATTTGGTCCGATACAGCGGGCAAGGCCCTGGTTAGTTTCCGGACTTCGGTCTGATGCAGTTTCCGGATTTCGGTCTGATGTAGTGGGCAAGGCCTAGTATGTGATTTATATGTTATTGTATGGTATGTGGTAGTTTGGGGGAGCTCACTAAGCTTTGTGCTTACAGTTTTTAGTTTTGGTTTCAGGTACTTCTACTAGCAAGGGGAAGAGCTCGGGATGATGACATGGCACACACCATAGTTATAGTTTTATCCTGGGAGTTTTATTCAGATGTTTCGATGTGATATTAACTACAGTTTTGATTTGATCCATTTATTATGGCATTTTGAGACATACAATGCATGATTTTATTATATAACATTCGATGTTGTGGTTTTTAATAATGTTAAAACAAAAAAAAAATGGGTTGTATTTTTGGGATGTTACAGATCCTCTACAACCATCCAACGATTTAAAATGAAAGCACACAGATCACCCTTCCTTCTTTGTTTACCTCTTTTCTGATAACTCTCTCCAAATACTTCCTGCATCTGTGAATCCCTTTCTCCTCTCTCGATCAAAGCCTAACAACCGACACCAACAAGACAACAACCTTCATTGCCGACCAACAAACATTGCTCTCAAAATCTCTCCACCATTTCACCTATTCATAAATTGCTACCTCGGTTGTGTCTATACCAGTCGTAGTCATGCCGACACCTCCCACACTACCATGATTAGCCACCGGTCCACTACCACCTCTCCAATATCTTCATCACACCCGAGATCTTCTTTCCCTATATATTCGCTACAGACCTGTCAAAACCCTAGATCTAAAATTCGAAAATATACTACACCACCGTTACCACCACTCTTCCCATGTTTCTTTCTCACCATCGTGTTGGTATGTAATTGTTTGTCTACAACACAAACACCAACCAAGGATGGTTTGGTTTAGTTTAGTTTCTACCTGTTCTATTAGGTTCATATATCTTTTCAATTTTGGTTTCTTATTTTTGTTACTCATTTTTGTTCCAAAAGGTATGATTCCTCAGAGATTTCTTTAAGTTATGTTTCGTTTTTCCTCATTTGTGTTCTCGCATGATTGATTTTGCTTGGTTTTTCTCACAATTTCTTTATCTGTTTTGCCTTTTAAGCATTATATTGACAATGGCTTATGAAAGAATGTCATTTCTTTGGAGTTTTGGCAATATAACCAAGAGGCTTTTAGCTCAGGTTTGTGGGTCGCATCCTGATCAGTAGTTGTTCCCTGGACATTTTATGAAGCTGTAAAAAGACATGTATACCCTTAAAGTTTTGGTCGGTGATGATTTTTTTTGTTCTCTACCTTTCGTATTCTATTTGTAACAACCATACACAAAATGAAAAAGAGATTTAAACCGGTAAATTAGAATTTCTTATATATAACAATAGAAAACGAATTGTCACAAATCCACATAGATGTTGATTTTTGTCGCTATGAATATGGGAAAATATGATAGGTGAAAAGACAAGACCGACGACAAATTGTGAGTTGATTTACTTATCGTTTTTTCTTATTTTTTAATTAGGTCATTTATACATTGTAGTGTACCCGCGCGATGCGGTGGCACGATTAATCATTTTCTAAGAACTGTTCAGAGCGGCGATTTGTTACTCTTTGGCGAATGCAATATGTTGGAGTATATGTTTTCAATATCATCGGTTAGTTTTCAGGACACGATTAGTTTTTTTTTTCTATATGACTCAAATTTGAAGCATAAAGTTTGAAGCTTTTTACATTATCGAGCTTCTATAGCACAAGGAAACTTCAGATCTACAAGCTTGCCTTCTTTCTCCAACTATTAGATGCAATGTCTTCACCTTTAAGAACTCAAAACACACACCAACTCGCACTCCCACACAAAACTCGGGTTTGGGACGTTTCTGGAATATGGAGGCTAAGAATGATGAGAGAAAAATGAGCAATAATGAAGTTTATATAGCCCGCAACCCTAAATATTAGGGTTTTCTCCTGACATAAGTACGCCCAGCGTACACAAGTGTATGCCCAGCGTACTAAGGCGCATGTTAATACGCTCAGCGTACCCTTATGTACGCTCAGCGTACTCCTTCCTAATCCAAGGTTGCAACCTTAGCCCTTAGACTTGTCCTGGCTCGACACTTCCAACCTCAAGGGCTACAAATAACAAAATAGTGATAAAAGAGAGAATTCAGAAATACCTGCAAAATATCGGGATGTTCCATAAAGAGACAGTCAAGTTTTTAAAAATACAGAAATGATCGTGGGAGTAATATTATCATTTTCAAAAATTTAACATACAAGGTTTTAAAGTTAATAAGATACAGAGCAAAATCACAACTAAAACATCAAATATATACTTTTTCATTTTACAATAAACTCTTTTTTAGACCTTACCTAGAGAAATATAGTAAACCACATGAGCCATTTCGATAGTTTTATTATGTAATAAATAGTCGATCAATTTATTTTATTTTGTAATAATAAACAAAATTTGATTTGAAGAACCGATATCATTTTGGACATGTTACAACATTCTAGGAAACGTCTTTTTCAGTTGAAACATGTTAAGACCATCTAGTATACCAAGGACGAGCCATTCGTTGTCTATGTGGTCACTAACCACTATAGTGCACATCATCCCACTACTTAGTGGTAGCTACAGGCAGTGGTGAATTGTGGTGCAGACAACGAAAACCAACGTCAAATACATTTCTTTCTCTTTCTCTCTCTCTCTCTCTCTCTCTCTCTCTCTATCTCTCTACAATAATATATATATATATATATATATATATATATATATATATATATATATATATATATATATATATATATATATATAGTCAAGATCAAATAAGAAGGAAATTTTTGGTAGGAAGGTAAGACGTTTTTTTTCTACATATTTTTTTCGCGAACAAATAAAATGAATCATTAGATGATTCATTTGTAAGATGATTCACAAGAAAAAATTCTCAAAAAACATCTAGATTATTCATTTATATAATGATTTTGTTGTTATTAATTAAAATTATCATAAAAGTGAATTTTTTCTTAATTTACTTAAAAATGAATCATAAAATTGTTTTTTGAGAATTTTTTCTTCTGAATTATCTTACAAATGAATCATCTAGTGATTCATTTTTTTTGTTCGTCAAAAAACTAGAAAAAAAAACTTCTTACCTTCCTATCAAAAAAAATTTCTTACCATATATATATATATATATATATATATATATATATATATATATATATATATATATATATATATATATATATAATTTAAAATAATAATAATAATAAGAGGATTATAGTGGTGGGTATACCGACCTTTTATTGATTATATGCGGTGAATATATGACATCCACCGTTAAAGTGGTTAGTAGTGGGTATAACGGATCGTCGGATTGTAAAATTAGACACATATTTTAACCCTAGTACCTTAACATGGTAAAGGTAGGACTTTGGAGAGTAATTCCCCCCTGAAGGCAATACAACTCCGGATTATGCCTAAAACAAGTAAACAACAATACACTACATAAACAGTCTGAAAAAAATTGTTTTATGGCCGAAATTGTAGTCATGTAGTGTTCGACATAAGATAAGGGTCATACATGTAAATTAGCCTATAACTTAAGAAGGTTGCAAACGGACCTTTTGACGACACAAAGCGCCGGAAAATTTGTGAATGAAGTGAGGCATGTGGCTTGGTTATTATTATTATTCCATTACTTTGGTCAACCTAATTGCAAAACAAATCTAAACTACAATTCCCGATCGATTCACTCAACACCAATACTCAAAAACAAAATACAAATTTAAACCTCTGTTTCATCAATCCTGTCGTCGATCACTCGATCTCGTTCTTTGTCATCTTTTCCGATTCCTGTAATTTCTTTATATTCAAGAAGAAATCAATCATAACAGTTTCATAAGAAGGCAATTTCTCGTAACCAGGGAAGTAATTTATATCAATCACCAGATACCCATCTCCTTCACCATCTCTAATCATATCGAAATTAAACAGGTGCAGTCCAAGAGCCTTTCTCAGTCCCTTCGCCACCTCAACGAGGAATTCAGTCGCCGGCATCTTTAGCTCCTCACCGGAGTTATTATCGCTCCTTCCGTCAGCGATTACAGCACCTGATATCCGAGAGAAACTTATAGCTCCACCGGAGTCTGATGCAATCTTGTCTATGGTGTCCTTTGAAAGATCCGGCAACGAACTCCGTTTCACACATTTAACGTAATCGTCGGCTACATAAACCTTGAAGATGGTCCCACCGTGGTTCACAAACTGTTGCAGCACCATGGGTGGCTCCAGTTTGATTTCTTTCATTAGCCCATCGTGGTTGAACACCAGTGACATATCGTGCGCTTTAGTGGTCCCGTCAGCAAGCAGGGATTTCGCTATCACCGGAAAATTCAAACCACTTGTAGTTTCGACATTTTTCAAAGACTCTGCATCTCGAACTAGGATTTGGTTTGGGATTTTGAGTTGGGGGATGTTGAGTTGAGAGACGGGTTCGAGCATGGAGATGCGATTGTGGAGGCGCTGGATGGCGGAGAGAGGGTCGATGATGGTGGCGTTGGGGTTGCTGACGGAGAAATTCTGGAGATTCAGGTTCCATTCATTGCCGTAGACCTTGTGAAGGATGCAATCGAAGGGAGCTTGATCAGTGAGTGGTTTTGAAACGTCGATTGGGATGAAATCAATGCCTCGTTCTCTAGCGATGTCGATGAACGATGGCACCATGAAAGCTTTAATTTTTCTTGCAGGTAAAGCATAACCCACGTGAAAAAGATTCCCCTTTGTTTCGAATTCTGCCATTTCGTCGACTTCTTTCGTAAACTGTGTGGAGAGAGAGAGAGAGAGAGAGAGAGAGAGAGAGAGAGGTGGGTTTTCTTGAATGACTTCACTTGGATTTATACACGAAACTTCCAAATTAACTCTTGAAAGAAAAGCATATTCTGCAAAATTTAATACCCACAGTTTTAGGCGTGTGAATGCAACCTGTAAATTGTAATGGAGTTGGTACGGTAAATAAAATATTTTTTAATCAGTATTGGTACGGTAAATAAAATATTTTTGAATCAGTATACATAAATATATCTGATTTCACAAAAAAAAAAAAATGATAAAACCATTTTTGTTCCAAGGACAAAACTGTCTTTTTCAATTGACATACAAAAATAAAATTACGACTTATCATCATCTGCATTACTGCTATAAAACGGATACATTTTTATAATTATTAAACTTTTTATTATCATTGCTCAATATTTACCTTATAATTTAATTAAAATTATTTTTAACTTTATTGAATTATTTTTTAAATTTCTTACCCGTGGACACCGCCGGTTATAACCTAGTTATATAATAATGATCATATTAAAAATGTCAATTTAGTAAAATAAATTAATCAGATAAAAACAATGTGTTAACTTAAATGGAAAATCATCAAAAATTTATGTTAATTGTTTTAATATGAAATGAATTATTATTTTGAAATTTAATTTTTTATTCATATGGAATATACAACTTATTTCTGAAAAACAAAAAGATTTTAACAAAACAATCTAATTCAACATTCTTTTTCCATTAGTATAAAAGAATATTAATTTTAACGCAAATTTTTTTTAACTATTCATCATTTTAAGATTCTTACACTCTAAGATATAAGATATAGATATGAGCGTATCAATATGAGATCTGTGTACATGTTCTTCACTCGATTAATAGTGTAGTGGACTTAAAGTCTTTGATGGGGTTTCTGCGGTGGCGCAATGAGCAATACTGTGGCAACTGGCAAGTCCTCTGATATTAAGGGTGTGTTTGGTAAAAGTAGTTGTTAGCTGAAAGCGGGTAGCGATTAGCTGGTAGCGGGTAGTGGGTAGCTGGTAGCTGGTAGCGGAAGGCTGTAGCTTTTATTTGTTATATGAATGTTTGACAAAAGTAGCTGGAAGCTTTTGAAATATATAAAATTATATAAAAGGACAATTTATTAAAAATAAAAAAAATATATAAATATATTTTTAAGGGTAATTATGGAAATTGATTTCAAAAGCTCCGGAGCGTTTTGTTAAAAGTTACATGAAGTAGCTTTTAGAATCGGAGCGTTTTGTTAAAACTAAAAGTTAAACGCTCGTACTGCCAAACGAAACTTTTTGTTTAAACTAGAACGTTTTGTCAAAAGCTAAAAGCTAAAAGCTCCCAAACACTTCCAAAAGCTCCGTGCCAAACACGCCCTAAATGCATAATTATCATTTATGAACATATAAAGGAAAATTTTATTACATAACCACAAAATGTCGAAATCGAAGATTAACAACAAATGGCCTTGAAAGATCCTAGATTCAAGTTTCTTAAGAGAAATATTGGTATTTAGGAGTATTTTTGCTAGTTTGTCGTTTCTAAATAAATAAATAAATAAAGGAGAGTGAGGTATTTAAGAAAAAAATACAATTTTTTAACAAGTTGGTTATATAAAAAAAAATTAAGAAAGTATGAATATTATTATAATAGTAAGGCCATCATCGCTTAAAAAAGCCCATATAGACTTACAAATATGTTATGTAAAGCCCATATAGACTTACAAATATGTTATGTAAGATCATCCGTTATATCTACTACTAACCATTATAGTGGTGGGTGTTAACTCACTATTATATTCAACCACTGAAATGTTGGGATACCTAACAATATCATTATATTTTTTTAATTTTTTTATTATTCAAATAAAAAATATATTTTTTTTAATTAATTAATATGTAGAGAAAGAGATAGATAAATAAAAAACCTTATTGGACATGATGGTTTGTCCTTCACACAACAACTTACCATAAATTTTTCAACCACTAGCCACCACTAATGATATAGAACGGTATTCACAATTATTGTTCGTTGCCACATAGATTATGAACATGTTCGTTATAAATATATCACTTGGTCTAATGACCTGAAAGTCTTGCATATTACTGTGGATCAAATTTTTTATTATAATATTAATGTTTATATTAAATTTTGTACTAACTCATCAATTTTTGTATTCAATTGTTATTGCGTTTAACTTTTTATTTTATTGTTATTACATTTTATATATATATATATATATATATATATATATATATATATATATATATATATATATATATATATATATATATATATATTAATTGTTGAAATGTAAAATGTAATTGCAAAGTTAATGTGACATAATATATGATAATTAAAAGATGGGTATGATTAGGCTACCCGAAGTGGTGGGTGAAAGACGTGTGGGAGTTGATGTGTCATCCCCAAGACGCGTGAACACCGCTTCCACCTTCGGTGGGTTGGGTGTGGCGTGACAATGGAGACGGAGTAAGACGTGAGATTTGATTGAATATTCTCTTTTTGACTGTTGCATGTTCTATATATATATATATATATATATATATATATATATATATATATATATATATATATATATATATATATATTTTTTTTTTTTTCATTTCAAACACTTACTTTTTACCAACACAAAAACATATATTCAACAAAAAAAATTTCCTTTCTCAAATATTCTTACAGATCCAAACCCAAATACCCTACCCACCCTGAACACCCCAAACACTCCAAATGATCTGTTAGTGAATATTGGCTACATGCAATTATTATCACCCCCCATTCAAGAATAAACTCTATTCACAAATCGTTGTGGATGCGGGTAAGGTAGGTTGTGTGATAAAAGAGTTTGGTTTGTGCTTTAGATCCCAAGGGTATTGGTAAAGGTGTTGGCTCGGTTTGCAACATCCATAAAAATCATGCCAAATTTAAACTTTTTAAAACATTTAGAAACCAACAGTTATTACCAATTTATTATCAAAACAGTTCAATATCAGAGTATCCGAGAAACATTGTCATAAAATGTGAGGAGCTGTACGATCACGCCTTTGCCTTTCCACGATCATTTGAGGTACATGAAACCAAAATTGAAACTGTAAGCCCAAGGCTTAGTGAGTTCCCCCAAAATACCGATAATCTGCAAATAACACATATATAAAATAACAACATATATTGGGTCTACAACTTTACAGACTGGATTACCCCTGGCCCACAGTGTGAGTCTAGATTGCCTTTCGGGCCCACAACTCACATCTGGATTGCCTCCGAGCCCACAATACGAGTCTGGTATGCCCCGCCCGACCCTCAGCTCGTATCTGGAATGCTCTCGAGCCCACAGTGCAAGTCTGGCATGCCCCACCCGGCCCTCAGCTCGTATCTGGAATGCTCCCGAGTCCTCAGTATGAGTCTGACATGCCCCGCCCGGCCCTCAGCTCATATCTGGAATACTCTAGGGTTTGTTGGCTATCGCACGGAGCAATAAAACCTCAACCCAACCAACATAATATGTCGGCATATAACATAACTAATGCGCATACAGATTATGTGACAACCCGAAAATTCTTGCCTTGTAAATCCCATCCATTCAACTCAACTGAGCGTCAGACTCGTTTCTGCTATCATTTAGCCTTGTTTAGAGTCCGTTCAAAGGTTCAAAGCTCAGTACATTCAAGCCTCGAGTATAGGATTGGGTCTCGTACACTTCTAGCACCAAAAATCGAGCCATGTAATTCATTTGAGGGAGTGTACGGCCGTACACATGAGTGTACGACCGTACACCCATGTTGGGTCGTACACCTCCCTCCATATGAGTGGTATCCTTCATTTTTCCTTCATTCTTGCACTTTCACCTCAAGTACACTTGATTTCTCTCTCAACTACCATCAGATTTTCATCCTTGATCTTCAAAAGTTGTAAGTGTTCTTCCTTTGATTTGTTGTTATACTTCATCTCCTAGTTACACCCTTTGATTTCATCCATTGGAAATTATATTTTGACCAGATCTTCAAATCTCACCAAGAACACACACTTGTTCTTGGTGATTGTGAACCCTTCTTGAGCCTTCATATCGTAAGTACTCCTTCCCTATACTTAGTACTTGTTTAGAACACTAGATTAACACCTTAAAAATGCCCATAATTCATGAACAAGAGGTGTGTACGGCCGTACACACATGTGTGGCCATACACTCCTCAAAACACCCTTAAAATTCCTAGCTTCAGCACTTGAAGAGCAATTGTCCCACAAGCATCTCTACCCTTGGAAAAGGTTTTTGTGCACTTAGTACCATGAGTGTATGGTCGTACACTCCCTGGCCGTACACCAATGGCCGTACACTCCTCTTATTGGTCGTACACTCCCCTTAGTTCAATCATATGTGATTCCAACACTTGGTCAAAGTGTTTCCTAGTCCCGTGAGGTGTTTCCTTGCATTTGGTTGCTTTTAACACTATATTTTTGTCAATATATGCCATTATATGTCATTTAGGACTCATTAAGTCTCGGGACTTTATTCGTGCAGCTTCTCATCCTTACACGCGTATTCGTTTGAATCACCCACATCAGGTGAGTTCATACCCCGTAATGAATCTTTTTAACTGTTTTAAATGATTTTAAGGGAGGGGGGGAATACAACTTGAACATAATGATAATTGTGTAAATGTTTCTTATAAATATCTTCAAAAGATTGCCTATGTCTTTTATAAGTGATCAAAACATTTCAAAAACTCTTTTAAAGTTATGTTACTTTTTAGTTTAACAAAACTCCATTTTTAAAGTACAAGCATAACTTAGTAGTAAAATGAGTCTTTTCAATAACAGTTCAAGTAAAAAAATAGTAAACTATAAGGGGTATAGTTTAGAGGTTCAGTTCATACTAGATACAATACACGATAACAGAAAGAACATACTAAGAAACATACTAAGATGCTATAACATCGAACAAT